ATGGACTTCTAGTGTCCGAATTAATACAAATCACATATTACAAAAACAGGTAGAGAACTTGTCTCAGTTAAGGTAAATGCGATGTTCCAAAATAATTGACCAATGATTTTATGCAAGTGGATGAATTAAAAAAAAAATTCTATCTCTGTCTAAACTGTATGAGACAGAAAGCATTTGAAAAAAGAGAAGCTCACATACAAAGCCCCTATTTTGCAGTTCCCTTTCCCTTTTCCAAAGCTGTCCAATTAAACCCTGTTAAGTTTCCTGTCAAATTAAATAGTCAGTGATGTTTAATACAAGAACTGCTCCAGATTTCCAATGTGAAAGGAAAGGATAGACCACTATAAAATTTTGTATTTAAAGGCAAATCTGCAAATAAGTACCATAAGCTAACCTCTCAGAAAATGCAGGGTTACAGAGTCATTTCAATGCTGCATGATCATAAGTGAAAAGAAATTTTCTCATTGCTGCAAGAAAAGCTGTAGTATTTAACAAGTGTTCATTATAAATTGACCAAACACATAAAGTGGAATCCCCATGATACTTGATATTTGTTTTAATGCAAATATATTGCTGTATCAAGTGTTGCTGCATCCTCTTTACTTCTTACAAGAAAAAAAATCTTGAGGTTTAACAGCCCAGAGTCCTAGTGCATGTATTCAGACAGTCTCAGAGTTCACACTCACATACATGAGAGGAAACACTTATACTCTACCATAAACCTTTGTTTGGTAGACCTTTGAGGGGAAATGTGGTTTGTAAGATTGATTCATTAGCATTTGCCTCCAGTAACAGGCTAATGAAAAGAGCTCAATTATGCATAGATCTGCGAAGAACTCAAATATTTCTACTGCTACAATGGTAAATAAGGTTGGATGGTATCAGTAAGGAAGAGCATTTTAGAGTTCTGGGCTGCCTGTTATCAGACTTTTGCTCTTAACTTAGGTGGGAGGTCACTCAAGGAAAATATTTCACCTGGTATACATTCGTTCAACATGCTTCAATTTATTTTCAGATCCTGTTTTTCTTAGGGATTTTAATTTAGGAGTGAATAGATGATTTATAATTACAAGAATCACTTAATCACATTCTAAGTTTCTACCTCATTCTTACTCAGTTGTATTTAGGAGGCTCCATTATAACCCTATGTCTCTGCTACATTGATCTGTGGTTATGTTTTATGCCTTCTTGTTAAATAAGCTGAAGCTTTGAAATGAACAAAGGAAGCATAGTTCCCCACACAGGACATAAACTTGTGGAACTCATTGTCATGAGGTGCTGTGGATGTCAAAAGTATAAATGTTTGCAAAGACAGTTACACAAATCATAGATGAAAAGTGTGCTGAGGACTGTTATTCAAAAGATGCAGCAACAGCTTTCTCCTCAGGAAATACCTGCACTACAGTTTCTTCAAAACAAGGGCATTTATCAAAGGAAGCACTCCACAAATGGAGTCTTTTCTTATCATCTTTTTCTAGAGATGGCTCCTATCAAAGACGAGATTCTGGGCTGAAGGGTAATTTAGTCTGCTCCAGACACAGCAATTTTTCTTGTTGTTCCTAAACTGCCTATGTGATCTAGCACTACAGCCCCATTTGAATGACTGTAGCTCAAAGGTAATTGCTCTTCCAGAGCAACTTAAGTAGCTGCCTTACCCAAGAAACCCTCTTCATCAATCAACAAAATTAGACATCTGCTTGATGTCCTCTGCTTATCCTTGCTTAGGCTTTATACCTTCTATTAAATGAGCACCAAGTATGGCAGAAATGTAAAGCACAAAATCAAAACATTTTCTGACACACAGACAATAAAACTGTGATTGTGCTCTCTCCTAGTTCACTGAAAAGCTCATATGCTAAGGTGTGCTACAGGGATGTGTAAGTTGTGCTTCTCACATAAAACATGGGTTTGGAAACTAAGTAGGAACAGATTTGGACTTGCAGAAAGCTCCTGTGATTTCAGGGAGTCTCTGTGTGACTGCAATCACCCTCCCAGAGAATATCTGGGAAAGGCATTGAAAAAGGTTTTCTTACAGTCAGTCATCTGGGTCTCAGCAACCATGCCTGTCCCGGCATGTCAGCGTGGAAAGGTCCTTCCCTTTGTGCTAGGGAGAAGGAATGAGTTGCAGTTGCTGACTGGCTTCCCTTTCCCAGAAAAATAAGCTACTAAATTAAAACACCACACTTCTCAGTGGCAAACCAGTCTTCCAGTCCAGAATTACCACAGTTTTCAAAACATAGTAACATAATGGAAGAAATAAATTTCTGCAGTTCCTAGCTACAGTGACCCTTTTTTTCTAAATCTTCATGATATTATTATTAGAAATTAGAATTTTATGGCACTGATACCTGTTCAAAACACTAAAATGTCTTCATATTGCACAGCTTTTTTTGTATTACTCATTTTTCATACTAATTTTATGATATGTCAGTTTAATTAATATTTTCCACTGCCACATTTTATTTGGTAATTTTAACATATTTATCTCACACCCTGTCTTCTCTAAGGGCAATTTAAAGTATAAGAACTTGACAGAAAAGAAAAAAAAATCTATTAATAAATTCAGCAAGACACATAAGAAAGAAAATGTATTTTGTATCAGAATAAAAGTAAGCAGTGTATTTTGGGTCAATCACTGTCACTTAAACAGCTATAAAAACTGTTATTTCTCACAGGCCTGACAGAAACCTGGATATAAATGTTTTAATAACTAAATGTCCATTATAAATTCAAAGCTATGGAACAAACCTCCTTTTAAGAACCTCACATATTTTATTACAATCTCATTCCCCTTATTTTGGCTTAGACACAATATTTACTTGGTCAGAACATTTGCTTAAATATTAAGTAGAAAATCTACCTAAAGCAGTATTAATAAAAGATGTTTCAAGATATTAACTTTGTAAACGGTTGTAATGAATCTTTGTAGCCAGGAAACTCAGTCTACCCAGAACACAGTAAATTATCTTTGTTTCATTAAAGCACTATTTGTGGAAAAGCTCACTTAATTTAAAACAGTGCTGCTTCAGATATGGAACTCCTGAACATCTTCGCTGAAGACAACTGGACTTCGGAATTTAATATGAAGCTTCTTATCAGCCCTCAAAGTGACAACATCATCTACATACTATTTATATTTCTAAATGCTTCTCAGGATTAAGTAATTATTTAGTAGGTAAAAAAAATTGGTTGATTTCTTTAGTTCTGGATGAGTGATTCCATGACAGTTCATTTAAGAATGAACTACATTTAGTGAGGTACTGGCTTTTAAAAGTGGCCATGTACCTTTAAAGCAATCTTTAAAATACAGTCCTCCCAGTAGCCAGAGGAACAGGAACATAATTTAATTTTCTCTGTTCTAATCTTGAGGCTCTTTCTCATACTGCAAAATGGTAAATAAATGTCAACTCAAGAAGCAGCAGCAATTTATATTCTTGAACACTAGAAAGTCAGTTCCAAGCTCTTAGATTTATTTTGCTTTTACATCTCTTAGATCATACCACCTTGTTGGTATTTTTAGGGCTGAAAAATAGTTCCCAAGGGTCTAAGTTCTTTGTATCATACTAACAGTGTGTACCATTCACTCCTCAAATTTTTTCTTTTTTCTTGTTAAGGATTCCATATTTATTCTGAGCATTAAACATAGAAGTATATTTCAGTTATGAGTCATAAATTATTGACAACTAAGAGGTATTCAAACCTTGTTTAAAGTAATTTTTTTTCTATCTGACACTAAAATTACTGCCATTAAAGTCAACTTAATTTTGAAAGTTTAAAATAGATCAATATTTCCCTTTTAAAACACAGGGACAACTTTAAACAAGTTGTACAAGAATATAACGCACATTTTTCTACTCTGAGATAACTGTTCTGCATCCAACAAGTAAAAGCATGTCTCTTGGGTAGTAGCATAGTGAAGAGGATTTTGCCAGCCTCCCTAGTCTTACTCTGCATGAAGCCCAATTACCCTTGCTGGAAATAAATACACAAAGGTTCACTTTCACTGAACATGAGTTTGTCTATAGTTACCACCAACTGAAATTAGAAACCAGTTTAGGCTGGTTGCCTGGAAATCTTGCTTTTGTTTTCTATGACATTAAGAGATCATATGATCACACTCTTGGATATCATCTCTTGTATTTTAATAAAACTATTAGAAAGAAAAGCAGAAAAATTCCCAGTTCTGTATGTCTTCATACACAACTGCTGTACACCCTAGGAATCCTTATTTTGTTAAACTACCACCTTCTCTTTTTAAGCAGTGGCCTCCAGAAGGTGATCTTTCAACCACAGGTGATCCTCAGAGTCTGATGGGGAGTTTGTAGCTGTCTCGTGTACTGCCTTAATTTGTGTTTCACTTGAAATTGTGAGGAGAATGCTTGTATGGGTGCCCGGAGGTTTTTGACCAGCCTTGGACTTTGCTTAGAGTATTTGGGTACCTCTGTTGAGGACATCTGGACGGTACTAATGAAAGCCTTCTTTACATTGTCACTAATATTTGTCAAAGTAACGCAGGTCAGTTTGCAAGGAAAAGAAAAAGTTTTGCCATTGACTGAAAGCTTCATTTTCTCCTCCAATAATGAGGTAATAAAGATTGAACTCCATCTTTACAATTAATAACAGAGATATCTGCACTATCACAGCACTGTACTCTTAGCATCCTGAGGCCATCAAGAGCCCTGACTGTCCCCGCCCAGCTCTGCTCATGGCTCCCCCCACCCTGCCCATGCCCCAGGACCCTATTCCAGCCCCCTGAGGCCATCTGTCCCTGTCCCAGAAACGCTGTGGCAGGGCCAGTCTTCATAGCCAACCTCAACCTCAGCTCACCTATGATTCTTGAGGCTGGGGCTGCCTCAGTGCCCCCCCAGCTTTCCTACTTCTGACTGGGTGGGACAGGCTCTGGATGGTGAAGACCCTGGTGAACTAGCCTGCATGGGCTACCCTGTGGTCCCTGCTCCCCCTCCACAGGGCTCCATCCCTCAAAGTCAGCTTTACTGTACCGTGAGTTCACTAGAATAAAATCAGATGTTTCCAGTCCTGTTTTTCTTTTTTCTTCACCCTCTCTTTCCAAATCTTCATGTTTTGCAGAATGCAACAACCTGTAAGTGTTTGGCAGCTCTGGTCATCAAAAGTGCATCACTCCCATCCCTACTCTCAGTGCTGGCTCTCAGCTGAATCCAATTGAAGCTCAATGTTTCAGTTCTGACCTTTAAAGGCCAGCATGTGATTGGCCTTGGCAACCTAACGGATGGTCTCAGTCTCCCTGATTATGACCTCTCATGACAACTGCATTCCTCTGGGGAACTGGAAATGTCAGACATCAAAGTAAGACCCATAAGCGTGTCAGACAGTTTTCTCAGCAGCTGGCTTGTGACTAAGAAACTCACTGTGACAGAGATCAGAGTGACCACAAACAAAACTGTAAAGCTCAGATGTTTGACCTGGATTTCCCAACATCATGATAAAAGGAAAAGCATCCACTGACAAGATGATGAAGAGGAACGTTAGGACAGATTCTCAGCTGCTGTAAAGATGTATTGTTTGGCTAAAGACAAAGGAGATGAGTATCATTAACCTATTGGTCCTCACATGCGCATTAGTTGCAAGAGAAAGTTGTGCTGGAAGATCTGTCTGTTAGAAAATGATCATTTGATGAAATTGAAGGTGTTTACCAGAGCAATTTTTAAAGGTAGCAGAAGTAGCATGTTCTGGTAGTGTTAATATATTTTATTTTGACCTTGTGAAACATTTTTAGTTCAAAAAAGTCAAATTGTGCAATGTTTCATGCTAATTTAGGGTACTGTAATGGTTAAACCACATCAACTAGTGCATTATGTCAAGTCAAAGTAATATAATAGAATACAACACTTTCTGTCACAACATAATCTTTCCCAGCATTTTTGTAGGTATTCTATTATTGACACCACATTCCTAAAATAAAATAAATTTAAAGTAATATTTTAATTGTTCTATCACAATATAAATATTTCAATTTCTAATCCAATTACTAATATAACTATTTCATCAATTGCTTACAGTCAAAATAAAAATTTCACCACTTGCAGCAGACTGGAATTTTCAAATTCTCCAACTTTTCTCACACTTTATTATGATGCTTAGATGACCAAATTCTTCAAAGGTAACTATAATACAATATGATAGAAAAATCAAACGACATACACCATCCTTTGTATCATAAATAGGTTTATTTATTTAGAATGACTGCCAGTGTCCAATCTTCAAAGATGTTCAGATGTTAACAAATATTTATAAAAGCAAACAAACCATGAATATATTCTGCTCACACAGTAATTTAACAGTTTTCCCTCTGTAGTTTAAAGACATATGTCTCTCAATTTTCTCCCTTTACAACATGCAGATGATGAAAAATAGCCTTATCACCCTAAGTGATTTTAGATATTCATCATTAAGTCTGTATTTATCATGCATAGGATCCATTAAGGAGGATTTGTCTCTGTGGTAAAGGCCTGGGTTTTGTAGGGGTTGCAGGACCATCTGTGCAGTCATCCTGATACTCCCTTTACAGTGTGACACAAGCCTGCGTGGTGGAATTTCGTTAAGCTCTAGGTGTTTCAAACAAGGCCTGCAAGAGTGGGTAAGTGATGTATATAAAAGCTTTGTCTGATCCATTGTCATTTACAGCAGTGAAGTTGTTCTTAATGCTTACCATGAATTAGGGAACACCACAGAGAGTCACATTCTTAGATTCTGGTTAATCAAAAGACTCTGTTGAAGTGAATGGCTCAAAGCACATAATGAGCTAGATTTGCAATTGAAGTCAATGTAAGAAGTTCAGAAAAGACATCAAAGGCAGGAGCTAATGGGGGTTGAAGGAAGAAATTTACCCGTTCTCTGAGACTTTATCACCAGTTTCACTCATAGGCAAAATTGATGAAGTTATACTCTGCACAGTGTAATACCCAAAGATGTTACATATAAATCCATGTTTTCCAAGCCCTAGTATCCTTAGAGAGAGCAGAGGACATTCACAGCTTTAGTGCTATGTGACTTTATATAGACTTAGGCAATATCTCAGGGACACCTAGTTTAAGATACGGAGCTTCTTGCAGACCCTGGTTGGGGAACAGATTCCAAAAATTTATTCAGATAGAGAAATGTCTTTTTGAATCAGAGTATAAGAATCAGAGAAACACAGGAGAGGGAGAAACCTCCTGGATCAGCAAACAGTAACCTGCTATCATATCAGCCAATTCTTTCTTAAATATAATCTCTCTAAAAACAAAGATACAATAACCACCTGATACAAGTGTACATCAAGAAAAGAATAGTAATTTTAAGAGCATAATTTGAAAATTTAATAATGACCTATAATCTGTTATATTTTGAATATCTTGACACTGGTAATAAAATTAAGGTTTTAATAGTATCTTTTTAAGAAAGAACAAAAAGCCTTAAAGACAACACCTTGGATTGTTTCCAGGATGAGACTTGAAGCTGCTAAACTGACAAACAAGTATTTTCCTTTATGTGTTTTGCTGATTATAAGAAACAGGTGAAAGCTTAGTAACACATGGAAATATTTTTTCTTGTACAGATTACTTCCATAGGAAGAACAGTCAGGACATAAATTAATGATTAGCTCAGCTGGTTAGAGCATGGTCCTAATTACACCAAGGTCATGGGTTCGATTCCCAAACTGGCCATTCACTGAAGAGTTGGACTTGGTGATCCTTGTGGGTACCTTCCAACTCAGTATATTCTGTGATTCTGTAATCATGTGAAAAACTTTCTTCACCTACCTGCTTGCATCTTGAAAACCCATGAAAGTATTCAAAAAAATACTCTTCCTGTAGATAGAGGAAAACATTCTCATTGACTTTTCTGGAAGCATGTCAAAAACATGAGTGATATCTCCAAGAGCTCTTCAGTGATAAAGTCTGTTCCTTTCCTATGGCTGCAGCACACACGATAAGAATAATCTCTATCTTAAGCTATACACTTGAGGGTTTGGGCTGTTTGAGGCTTTTGGGTGAAGATTCAGATGGTAAGGAAAAGACAAGAAGCAGATGCTCTGTTACTTAAAAGCTTTCCCAGAGCCCTAAAGATCAGAGAGCAATGTTTGGTGCTTTGGGCTACATGGGACTTGTTCAGGCCCCATGGCTTCTTCACTTTGGTAAGAGTTTCTGAAATACCTGGAAAAGATTCTTTGTAACTTGTTTCTTACAAAGCTCTAGTGACATATGAGATCAATATTTATAAAAACTGAAAATAAAGATAAGAAAAAAAGTGTTAGGTTCTTATATGGACAGAAGACTGGCTTCAATAAACAAAACTTTTTTGGAGGGCCCAAGGACTAGTGTTAAGATATAGATATGTACTTCCTGCTATTCCATTTCTCCCTAAGGGATTTCGGTGTAGTTTTTTGGGTTTGAGTTTTTTTGTTTTCTTTTTTTTTGTTTGTTTTTTTTTTGAGAAGGGCAAGGGTTAGGTATTTTTTTTTTTGTTTAGGTAACAAAGCTGGCAAAAAGGAGAAGACAACATCAACTTAGGTACAAGGAGGGACCATACACCTCACAGCTTCGCTCATTGCTTATTGCTGACTTTGTCGTACATCTGTAAGTTTAACTACTTAACGGACAAAACAACTTCACAGATTTTCCCAGCTGTGAGGCAGTCTTTTGTTCTGGGGGTTTACTCCACAATTCGTCTGTTCAGTGGTTTTCCTACCAACATTAAGTTCTTCTATAACAACAAGAAATATCTATGAATACACTTATCCCAAGAGATCATTACTAGGATCACTCAGAATGTTTTTATCAGTACAATGCATCTTCTAGTTATCAAAACTAAAGAAAAAATTATGTGTCTTATCACTGTAATCACTGGTTTCTTATGGAAAAAGGTCTGGTTTATAAAGTGCCTCAGTAATCTAAAATCTAGAAGACCGCTATCTAAAATCTGTGATCAGTAATCTTTCTAAAGAGGAGAAATAAAGAAGAAAAAAACTAAGATGGGAACTAGTGATGTCATTCAATTTAGCAGTTTGAGATACTCACAGACATAACCAGACAACAACAGCATAAAAACTAAGACCAGGAAAGTTTCTCCCACTTGATCAACTTTCACAGCTACCTCCTTTACATCTGACAGACTTCTGTTTTTTTTCAGTAATGTTACTATCTCAGTTATACTTAAGACTCTTTCCCTGAAAAATTCATAGTATAATTAGAAATAAGAAGCAAAAATAATTACAGAATTACTATTAATGCATTATATCAGAGAAAGGGAAAATATGCAGAAGGGGACACAAGCGTTTTACAGTGAAATTTTAAAAATTTAAGACTGAAAAATATCAAACACTTAAAAATCTGTAGGATACAGATTTTAGATATTTTAGTATTTATTTAAGTGCACTAAGTATACAGAAGTATCTCGGTAGCTCTGCAATAACTTAGCACCTATTTCAAACCCTAATGAATGCTGTGGATTTTGAGGTTTGCTTTCTCACCATATATTCTGAAAGGACTGACTAACAGATGTGCTTTAAAGATTTCTGTTTCTTGCTCACAAGAACAAATTCTTAAATGTAGAAAAACCACAATGGTGATTATTTTTCAAAAAGCTATGGTGGTGTCATCATCCCATGAAGATGGTTTTGTTGTTCTCAGATTGTCCTTTAAAGAGTGGGGTCAAAATTGTCCCTTTGGGGAAGGAGATTCTTGGCACCCAGGCAAGCAAATTGTTCCTGACCACAAGATATAGCAGGTAAAGCAGGAAAAGTCACAGCAAGTAGATGTCTGAAATATAAGAAATTCTGAAAAAACTGCAGTGAGGAGGGTACACTTCCTTCAATGAAATCCTCAGATTTGATTCAGTTAGAAGTCTGAACTTCATATTCAGCACCTAGACATGCATTGAGGCTATGAGGTGTTAGAATACTTCCAGGTGTAAAAACTACAACGGTTCCACAGTGAGTTTGTGGCACCTCCACCTTTGGAGGTATTGAAACCCCCATTGGACAGAGCCCTGGGCAGCCTGATCCAGGCTGCCCTGCTGGAGCAGAAGGGTTGGAGACAGCAACCTCCAGCTGCCCCTGCCAACAGCAGCCGTTCTGTGTCCCTGCAGCCTCAGTCAATGCCTGCTGCATGGCATGGCAAGGGCCTGGCCAGGGAACTGGGAGCTACTGCTCCAGGAGCCACAGGGCAGAGCCAAGCAGCTGGTGCCCATTG